TAGTATGATTTGTTGTAGTGGTTGTTAGTATATTAACTTTTTGACACACCAGTCGTGGGTTCAGTTCCCAAGAGTAAGAAGTTTTTCTCACTTCTAAATATTTGCCAGGGATGTCCTCATCAGGACAACAAACTTGGGGTGCTTTATATTCAACAAAAACTTCCCCCGTGGAGCTGACAGTCTTGTTGCCATGACTCCACTGTTGGTCCATTCCCCTATAAACATTGCATTCACACTAGGAAGGGTGAGACTTCTCCCATGCCGCTGGCAGTCTTGTTACAGTGATTCCACTGTTTGTCCACTCCCCCTATAAACATTGCATTCACATATAGAAATCTTCTTGCATGCCGCTGGCAGTCTTGTTGCAGTGATTTCACTGTTTGTCGACTCCCCTTAAAAACTTTGCATTCACATTTAAATATCTTATCCTATGTCGCTGACAGTCTTGTTGCTATGATTCCACTGTTTGTCCACTCCCCCTATGAACATTGCATTCACATATTTAAAAAAATTTCGAATCTTCTCCCATGTCGCTGGCAGTCTTGTTGCAGTGATTCCACTGTTTGTCCACTCCCCTTATAATTATTGCATTCACATATAAAATCTTCTCCCATGTCGCTGACAGTCTAGTTGCTATGATTCCACTGTTTGTCCACTCCCCCTATAAACATTGCATTCACATATAAAATCTTCTCCCAATGTAGCTGACAGTTTTGTTACAGTGATTCGACTGTTGGTCCACTCCCCCTATAAACATTGCATTCACATATAAAATCTTCTCCCATGTAGCTGACAGTTTTGTTACAGTGATTCCACTGTTGGTCCACTCCCCCTATAAACATTGCATTCACATATAAAATCTTCTCCCATGTAGCTGACAGTTTTGTTACAGTGATTCCACTGTTTGTCGACTCCCCCTATAAACATTGCATTCACATATAAAATCTTCTCCCATGTAGCTGACAGTTTTGTTACAGTGATTCCACTGTTTGTCGACTCCCCTTATAAACATTGCATTCACATATAAAATCTTCTCCCATGTAGCTGACAGTTTTGTTACAGTGATTCCACTGTTTGTCCACTCCCCCTATAAACATTGCATTCACATATAAAATCTTCTCCCATGTAGCTGACATTTTTGTTACAGTGATTCCACTGTTGGTCCACTCCCCCTATAAATATTGTATTCACATATAAAATCTTCTCCCATGTCGCTGACCTGTTTTACACCATTGGGCATATGTTGCTTGACCCATATTCTTAAAGACCATTTGGTACTCAGTGGTTGATATAATCAGCTGATGCTGACCACCTTTACTTCCCAGAATATTATTTCCTTGTACCCATTTTAAGCTGGGTTAACCTTGAATTCCAGGTCAGTGTTCAAAATCTGCCTCATTGAGGATTGGTACCCAAGATCTTTAGCCCAGCAAGCAAGCATCTAGCCTCCAGATTTCATGTTGCTGATCCAGCAGCACTTTATTCTGTAGTAGTCAGCTTCCTGTTTTAATTGTGAAATATGGTGTTTCTGTATTGGAGCACTGCCTTCTCAATCAACTGCAGTTTTCCATATTCGTGGAAGAATGGTAGTTTAAACTTTGTGGTAATTGTTGTCAGTAATTTAGTATGTAGCTTTCTTATTCTTAGCATTCGCTGGCTGTAAAGTCTGGCAGAAAGTTCTAGTTGTTTGTCCACACCTGTACTTTAATCTTGATCCAGAACTGAAGTTTTGCATGTACATTTATTTTCACAGCTCTGCCTTACTTGTATGCTGACTGTTGGTTCCTTACCTCTCAGGCAGATGCACTCTGACTTTTAAGGAACCCCCCCCCCCTTATTAGTTACCTCCTATGGCATGCTTCTTTACGGAGCAGTGGGCTTGTTCTTTATTCTCCAAAATGGGACCCTGAAACCCACATGGGGAATCTGTAGCTTTCAAGCCAGACATAAAACTAGAAGTTGCGTATGATACTTTCATGTGTTCATATCCATAATAACATTCTGTTTTAAAAGTTGATTGTCTGGGTCTGTGGCTCAGGGGGTTATGAGAGCAGGTTCGTAATTCCAACATACCCAATATGATGCAGCTGCAAGTGATTTGGCAGCAGACAGTTTTTGCATTGATTTCGTAAAATATGTGATCATCCAACATTCAGGACCTAGGGGCAAAATAGTAAAACTACAAACAACCAACTTTTGGTTGCTGGCAATGGTTCAGTGTCCTGTAAAGGATATATTTATATATATATATACAAGTAACTACATGTATTTTTGTTTTGTTTTCTGAAAGTAGATTGTATACATTATGGTTACCTGTCCGCATTGCATGCCTTCTACTAATTTGAATGGAACCAACTGCTAAATTCCCGACAGATATTTGACAGGTTTTTTAGTCTGTTAATCGGTAATAACAGCAGCATGTACTCCAGTATGATTACAGCCCGGGCATTTTTTAGGGCTATCATTGAACATGCTGTGATGGATATTTATCCTCATTATAAACACACAGATGCACAACTGCTGACTGCTTGTATTCATGAACTGCTAATAGCTAAAACACTGTGTATGGCATGTACATGCTGAGATGTACTGAAATGCTTTGACTTGTCATGTTTCTTTCCCCTGGTGTCCAGACGTAAGAATGAGCCGGCATTGCTACTTCATTTAATCATTAATTTGACGGCTGAGATTTCTTTGCCACTAACCAGTAAATATTCAAGTATACTGCTCGAATGATCACCAAAAATGAAAGCACTTGACTTTGTTGTGTGTTTGTTTTTGTTGTGTTTTTTCCCCCCTCTTTATTACTTTATTCTACAACACTAAATTGTAACATAACACCTGGTGAGATATTTACCAGTTGATGAGTTGTGTATGGAATAGTGGATAGGTTGTGTGTGAAGCAGTGGATAAGTTGAGTGGGAAGCAGTAGAGTGGGAGTGTATTAAAAAGATAAAGATGCAGTAGTGTTACAAGTGAGGGTTTTGAAAAATGAAATTATAGTTTCCAAACAAATTAGTGTTTAGAATTTGTAAAGTATAATTGTTTATGTTTGCTGGGAGGATGTTGGGTCTGAAAGAATAACAATGGCTTGCTCCAGCACTCACCTTACAAGGTTCGTCTATGGAATGCAGTATTGTATCTGTCAAAGATAGAAGAAAAAGAAAGTACCCCTGGTTCTCCCGTCTGAGTGCCAGTCAGTACAGTACAGCTATCTATACAACAAGACTTTCCAGTTTTATTTGATTATTTAGTAATGAATTACTGAAGACGGTTTATGATGATTCTTTATTGATTATGGTATAAGTTCTATATGTAAAGAGTGATCTATAGCTGTCCTGGGCTGTTGTTTTTAACCCTCTATCCCAGTGCGCTGTAATAATAGCACTGTGGACAGGAGTTAAAATAACAGTTTGGATAGAATGAGTTAGTGTAACAAGTGAAATAACAAGGACACCAATAATTTATTTGTACAGTTTATTCCCTGGCATATTTTACTGTATCTTGTCAGGGGCGTTATTATAGAATTTATATTAACATATAATAAAGCCGCAAAATTAATTTTTTGCAACTTAAATACATACATGACACAGTCTGTTGATTCACTGTTATTCACCCTAGAAGTCTTCTTTTTCTCCTTCTTCACGATCACTGACTGTAAATTCTGGTGGAAAATTCTAGTTTTTCATCCTTTAAGTCTTGTTCTAGAACTTATGTTTTACAGGTTTGTGCATCTTACAGATCTTTCTTACTTGTATGCAGACTGTTGGTTCCTTGCCTTTCAAGCACATGCAATCTGACTTAGTGGGACAAATCCTTAATTAGTACCCTCCTGTGACGTTCTTTGTCAGGGGATGTCTGAGAGAAAACCAGCCTCAGTATTTTAGAGTATTATTTTCCTTAAGTAGACGATGCAGTAGAGACTGCCTGTTCGTTTTCTCTCCCACAAAGGGAGAGAAAAATGGAGCCTTGAACCCACACAGAGAGGAAGATTTATAGTAATCACATGATTCTTCAGTTTTCCTAACTCAGGATTCCTTTGTGTATTTCATACTTCATACCAGTAGTATTAGATAATAGTCAGTCCCTATGGACCATGGTGTTGTGAAACTGATGTTAGGATCAATGTCTGCCGTGACTGTAAACTCAAGTGCATGGGTGGCAGTCTCTGCCACATAGTCCACCTAAAAACTTTGATGCTCTATCATACTGAGGCTGGTATTTTTCTTTCAGACGTGTCCTGTTTATAGCTGGTTGCGTTTGACCATCTGTGAATGATGGCAGTAGTCTGTCTTTGTCTTTCACTGCTTCCATAGCAGTCAGTCTTCAGCTGATCTCTTGAAGAAAGATTTTTTTAACAAGAATCTTGAAACATGTATTTAGCAGGGATTTTTAACAGGCCATCTCGGCTAATAATATCAAAGGCCTTAGTTAGATCTATGAAGGAACTAAACAGTAACTTCTGTTGCTCCCTGCACATTTATTGTAGCTGCCTGGGAAGATCAGATCTACTATTGATCTCTGGACTCTAAAACTCCAACTGTGATTGCAGATATATACTGTCTGTTAGAATCTGCACTCTCTTCAGAATCACATAATTAGACTTTGCCAAAATAATTAAGCAGAGAGATTGAAGATAGAATGACAGCTATTACAGTTGCTTCTGTCTCCCTCACTTTATAAAGTATATCTCTGCATATTTCTATTTCATGCCAGTTATCTTTGATAAATTACCTTTTTTTCCATCAGTCTTGCACATGGAGTTAAAAAGACAGTAAAGTCAAATATTCCAAGCAATATATTGGCAGCACATTGGTTGTATCCTCATTCGTCAAATTAGTCATGGAGACTGTTAAGACTGCTTGCCCAGTAACATCTGTGTGGGATATACAGTAAAGTACACAATAAACATATAGTGAGTAGAGATTTCTACAGAAACTTTCAGACCTACACCATAGGTTGAATGTTAAATATGTTTTGTTTTTTTTTTAAATTTCCAGCTGTAAATAGAATGGGAAGCATGCGGGAGAGGTCACCAAATCAGAGGCTTCAGACATCACGTGATGCACAACATGGGGATATAGTCAATAACAGCATCAAACATCTCCAGCATGTGGCTCTGTATGTGCTTGGGGAGAAGGCTCAGATGAAAGCAAGTATTGTTTTTCCATAGAATTGTTGAAGACATGATAGTGTGCATTTCTTCTTCTTCTTCTTCTTCTTCTTCTTCTTCTTCTTCTTCTTCTTCTGCATTCCGTGCCCTTGAGCTTCATTTCTGCAGATATCACCCGCCTCCACTCATCTCTCTTTGGGTGACACCAAGTGTTTGCAGGTCTGTCTGGACTTTCTTCTTCTCCTGCTGCCTTTTATTGTCCTGTGGAGCATAGCCTCTCGGCTAAACCATGTTGTTGACTTGTTCACAATTTGTTGCATTTTGTAGCTCAAATTTTCTGTGGAAATGGGATAGCCAGCCCCTTGGCAGACTTCATTGTCACCTCTTACAAGATGCCAGGTAGGCTTCCAGTGTAACTATTCTTTTCTCCGTTAAGGCCCCAGATAACACTTTGACAAGTGTATTCTTCTTCTTTCTTCTTCTCTTCTTCTTCTTCTTCTTCTCTTCTTCTTCTTCTTCTTCTTCTTCTTCTTCTTCTTCTTCTTCTTCTTCTTCTTCTTCTTCTTCTTCTTCTTCTTCTTCTTCTTCTTCTTCTTCTTCTTCTTCTGCTTCTTCTTCTTCTTCTTCCACTTCTTCTTCTTCTTCTTCCTTCTTCTCCTTCTTCTTATTCTTCTACTTCTTCTTCTTCCTCCTCCTCCTCTTCTTTTGTCCTTAAAAAAATGGCATATTTTGTTGTTGTGCCTTTTGACCCAAAACATCAAATTTCAGCACATCCTTAATTTTTCACCTTTTACAGAATGCTTGTTACAGGGCAGCTAATTAAAATATTTGTTTTTTTCTATTTCTGATTTGTGTGTGTGTGGCTCGATGGCTCTGTATCTTTACTTTATAGTAGCTCTTATAATGCTCTTCAGATCAGCATGCAAACATTTCCTTCGATTTACATGAGGGACATGCATTCATTACTTGTCAGGTCTTGGTCCGATATGGCAGAGCTACAGTAAAACAGGGGTCAATAATACATGCTGGACAACATATACCAAACCTGACAACTCACACTGGCAGGCAACATCTTTGCCTGTATGAGTGCTTTGGGGAGGACACTAGCCTCATTCTAGAAACCTGAAAAATTTGTATTGAACCAGCTCTTAGCTTTGGTTGGCAGCGGGTCTAAAAGGGAAGCTCCAACAGGCCTGTCTGATCCCACAGCTTCTGCAGCATATTTTTTTCCAGACGTTTTGGTTTTAACTTTCCTTTGGGAGTAATTAAGTCAGTCCAAGAGAGATCTTCTGCATGGACAACACATGATCTCTACAATACTGCCCAGGATTTGTACTGTGAAGAAGAGGAACTTCACTACTGTCACAGTGTAACACCTCTTAAAAGATTCTATTCTTCGCTTCCCTTGAGGACCCAGATAACACTTTGACAAGTGGCAAGTGTGAAATGATGGAAAGATGGGAACAACATTCAGGCACATTTTATTTGCATAACTTTGTATATATTTGAAATGAATTTTAGAGCATAGATAAATGATATTTGTGATGCAACTAAAAATAATCAACAGAAAGAAGGATGTAGTAAAAGACTGTGCAGTTATGAAAGAAACTGTACTTAAAAGAAACAAATTGGGATGGCTAGTCTGGAGATCATCTCAAAGCAATCTGAACACGTTTATTGTCTAAAAGAAACAAATTGGGATGGCTAGTGTATCAAAGAACTGAACACGTTTAGAAATTCCCAGTGTGCTGCAATGTTGATTGCTGTGATAACATAACACAGATTTTTAAATAATATTGCAAACTTCTTTATAATTCCTAAGTGCACTTCTTGTCAATCTGCATTTAAGTAGAAAACAAACAGAAAGACAGAGAATGGAGTATGTGTTTATGCTGTCTCTACTAAGTACCCATAGTTGTCCTGACCATTGTTGTCTGAGTTTAAATGTATCTCAGCAGAAGTCAGTCACAGCACTCTCCAGAGTCTCTGTTTTGCATCCAGCTTTATGAAACCATTGGGAGTAATCTCTTTGAATGTCCCATCCTTGCCGAATTCAGGAATTCATTACTTTCACCAGAATCTGAATACTGAAAATATTTGCTTATATCATTTCATGACATTGAGCCAACATGCGGGATTTGAAGGCAGCTGCAGGCACTTTGACATCAGTCTGTTTTGATCTGCTTCTGACAACAAAATGAGTGTCATACTGCTGATTGTAAAATTGTCTAGGAAAACACACAACAGCCAACAAATGATGGTGTTGGAAGTTCTGTAAAAGAGATACAGCTAACCATTTTCTTTAAACAGGGTATCAAGGTGGAGTCGTTCCCCAAGTGTGACTTCATCCCAGTTGACTTCTATGAGGTGCGCCAGGTGAAGGCCAGCTTTAAGAAGTTAATGAGGGCATGTGTGCCTAGTAGTCCTCTCACTGGGCCTGATCACAGCTATCATAAAGCAGTGGAGGACTCTGAGTGGCTTCTGCAGGTAATGTACAATAGTAGCAGTAGTGGTGTTTAACATGTCTTTACTTACACCGATGCTTGCCTGTTAGACCAAAGTTCTTGGTTTGATGGGATTACCAGTATGATTTCTTCTTCTTTTTCACGTTCACCGGAGGTAAACCCCGGTGGAAAGATCTGGTTGTTGTCCACATCTGGACTCTAGTCCTGTTCCAGTAACTGAGTGTTGCATGCACATCTGTTTCACAGGTCTGACTCATTTGTATTCAGACTGTTGGTTCCTTGCCTCTCAGGCAGATGTACTCCGACCTCGAAGGAAGCTCCCAGTTAATCGACTCTTACGACATGCTTTTGGGCATGAAGTCTGATTTTGTTTTTTCTCACAATGGGGCCCTGAAACCCACACAGGGACCCGTATAATTTGTTTAACATGTCTTTACTTAGAGCAGCGGTTCTTAGCCTTTTGGGGGGTCAGATGACCATTTAACAAGGGTCACCTAAGACCATCGCAAAACACATTCACTGAAGTTATGAAGTAGCAGCGAAAATAATTTTATGGTTGGGGATCACCACAACATGAGGAATTGAATTAAAGGGTCATGGCATTAGGACGATTCAGAACCACTGTCTTAGAGAGATTTTTGTTTTCCTGTCAGCCCCAAGATCTTAATGCAAATCTCAATAGAAGTGGATCTTGTTAATTGACCTGGACACTAATTTTGACCAGTTGTAAAATGGTTGCAAGTAAATATTCTGGGAAGTAAAGTTGACGGCTGGCATAATGTTGACCATCTTACCCATCCAGTGGTAGTTAGCTTAGAATAATGTGGATCTAGCCCCAGAATGTCTAATGTTTTAATGGTGTGAGAAATGGTCTTTTAATTTCGGTTTTACTTACTTAACTTTTTCGGTACCATTGAAGTCATCATACATACATGCTTACTTTTTTTTTTTAGTACACATTTCTTCACTTGTCCTATCCCATTATTCTGTTATTTTAACCCCTTAGATTTTAGTTGTTACTCTAACACCTTCTCTTCCAGTGCTAGAGGTCCCAGGTTCAGGCCCCAGTGAAGGCTGGGATTTTTTCACATGGGCTTCTAGTAATTTCCCCTTGTCTCTGGGTAGTAAGATTGGACGCCCATGTGTATTATTGCGCACGTAAAAAAATCCCTAGGCAGTTGAAAATTGAAACGAGTAGTCTAATAGGGCTGCCCGGACAACATTTGGAGTTTAAAATCTACCCAAAGTATTTCCAGATCCTCACCACTGCTACGGAGTTCATGTGCAGCGCTGAGATTCTTCAGACTTGAGTCAGAAGTGGAACGGAGCACTTATGGGTTACCCCTTGTGCCATGATAATGATCTGTCTGTCTAAACTGAAAGTCTAACACCTTCTAAAAGCTAGTATTGTGTGTGTGTGTGTGCGCACATGTTAAGCATGCATGTGTGTGTGTGTGTGTTTTTCAGCGATGATTAGTTATTTCATCTAGTTGTCTTTGTTGTCTTTATAATGTTCATTGATGATATATAATTTCACTTGTGGGCAGACATGCTTGCTGATCTGTCTGCTTGGTGGTCACACCTTTTTTATCCCTCCCTAGGCAAGTTTTTTTTTTCATTTGCTTAGGCTTCTAAGGAGGAATTGGTAAAAAATTGATGCCAGGAAATGCTCTTGGAAGTAAAGGCAGCCAACATGATATTGACCACATCACCCATCAAGTGCCCGGCTGCTACCTGTACTATAAGTAACATGGACTAGCACCTTATAACTAACTGCATCTCAGAGCATGGGAGAATGTCCTATCATTTGTGTTTGGTATACTGAGTATTTAGAATCCTGAGCTCTCATGAATAAAACAGACATCCTCAAATCTTTGGCAAAATGATGGAATTTTTTCAGACAGTTGCAAAAGTAAATTCACAAACTGCCCAATTCATGAAAACAGCACTAACCACGAGGCCCTAAATCCTCAAGGTAGAAATGACTCCCATGCTATACCTCTCAACAACAACAAAAATGTTGAATAAGAGAGGGTAGTAAAATATTTCTCTGCTAGCATCACCAACAGTGATCTTGAATGTATCCACAGCTGAAAAGTATCCTTCAGCTGGCTGGTGCAGTGGTAGACTTGCTGGATGTGCAGGGCTCTTCTGTGATGATCTGCCTGGAGGATGGCTGGGATATCACAACACAGGTAACTGTAGTCTTAGTGAAACCAATTCAGCTGCGTTTCTTCTTCTTTTATCAATATCTGCTTATGCCGCTAGGTGTCACAGTTGATCAGATGATCAGTAGCCGAGCCAGGGTGCGCTCGGTCGCTTGATATGCCATGATTTCATGCAGTCTCAAGGTGTCAGTGATTTCTTTACAGCCATCTTCTTCTTGGTCTTCTCCTGCCTCTTGCTGTTTGGATTTTTGGGTTTTACATTCTTGCTGCTGGCTTTCATTCTCATTAGATGGTCAAACCATTTCATTCTTTGTTTCTCAACAAATTTGATGGTGGGTGTTGTTCCAACATTTCTTTTGATCACTTTGTTTTCACTCAATCTCTTTTGGTTTTATTCAGTCATTCTCAAACATTTAATCTCACAGGTGATTAGATTTCTCTTGTGTTCTTTTGTCAGTGTCCAAGTCTGACATTGGTAACCTAAAGTCTGTATAAATGTTGTATTTATAATTTATCTTTTGTCTCTGTTGGGATGGCAGGTTTTTTTTTGTTTTTTTTAATTGAAGCAAGTTAGTGTGTGACACTGATGACTTGTTGGATTCTCGTTTCTATGAACTACATTTAGCTTATCTAAAATGTGGAGATGATAGTGCAGATTGTTCTGCAAGGAAGATATTGAAAATAAATGCTGATATTCTCTTATATAGATGTAAATTTGATTATGGTGATGAAGTTATTTCAAATTGTCGCACTTTTCTTTCGAGTCTGTTGGATTTTTTTTTTTTTTTGGGTAGCTCGTGTTGTCTTTTTTTTTAGTTTGTATTCGATTGGAAGATTTATATCTCGTGCAGAACTCTGCATGTTAAGTCTTCATATATCGTCTTTGTTAAGTTAGTGATCTACTCTTGGTCCCCTTAGTGTTTCATAAATTTCCAGTATATGTTAGTGCTGTCCAGGGCTTTTCATTGACAAAAAAAATATAAAGTGCCCAATTCATTTAACAGCTTTGAACTTTTTTTGTTGTGATTATCATTATCATGACCTTTTTGGCACTCCAGACATATCAGGAAGTGCTCAAACTTCTCCTTTAACGTATGCATCAGCATCCAACATCTAATAGTGATATTTCTGTACTGATTAGTATGATCTCTCAGACATATGATGTGCCTCTTGTTTCAGTCTTTACTCCCAAATCTTTCTTTCTTTCTTTTTTTTTCTTGACTTGGGAGCCATGATATTGCAGTGGCAAGCACGCTTGCCTGGCTGCTTGGTGGTCAAAGGTTTTAATCTCCTGAATTTTTTATCAAAACTGACCAAGACTCCAACATTCTTGTTCTCGTCCTCAAGTTTCTTAGGGTGAGTTGCAGAGAATGCTAAGGATATGTTCCTTTTCTTAGGGTGAGTTGCAGAGAATGCTAAGGATATGTTCCTTTTCTTAGGGTGAGTTGCAGAGAATGCTAAGGATATGTTCCTTTTCTTAGGGTGAGTTGCAGAGAATGCTAAGGATATGTTTCCTTTTCTTAGGGTGAGTTGCAGAGAATGCTAAGGATATGTTTACTTTTTCTTAGGGTGAGTTGCAGAGAATGCTAAGGATATGTTCCTTTTCTTAGGGTGAGTTGCAGAGAATGCTAAGGATATGTTCCTTTTCTTAGGGTGAGTTGCAGAGAATGCTAAGATATGTTCCTTCTGTGATCTTTATGAAAAGGTTAAAACAAAATTTGCAATTAGATTTTTATCAGGAATTCTCCCTCCCCCGCCCCCTTTTTTTAAAATGATGACTGCAACTATCTGGAGGTCTTTATAATAACTCTCCACCGTCATCTTGGTCTACTCTTGTGTTCCACTAATCTCTTCAATTTTTGTGTTATTTCAGGCCATATCCATTCTCTGTTTATTTTCCATTTTCTCAAGGACTCTTGCACTAATTCATTCCAAATATGTTTATCCTGCTATCTGCAGTCTTCTATACTCACCTTATCTGCTGACTGGTGCAGGTTCTATCTGCAGTCTTCTATACTCACTACTCACCTTATCTGCTAACTGTTGCAGGTTCTATCTGCTGTCTTCTATACTCACCTTATCTGCTGACTGTTGCAGGTTCTATCTGCTGTCTTCTATACTCACCTTATCTGCTAACTGTTGCTGGTTCTATCTGCAGACTTCTATACTCACCTTATCTGCTGACTGTTGCAGGTTCTATCTGCTGTCTTCTATACTCACCTTATCTGCTAACTGCAGGTTCTATCTGCTGTCTTCTATACTCACCTTATCTGCTAACTGTTGCAGGTTCTATCTGCTGTCTTCTATACTCACCTTATCTGCTAACTGTTGCAGGTTCTATCTGCTGTCTTCTACACTCACCTTATCTGCTGACTGGTGCAGGATCTGGTACTGTGACTGTAAATTGTTAATTAATTTCTTGATTAACTCTTTGAGTCCCAGGGAACGTATAACGCGCTAATTTGTTACAATCGATGCATGACAAGTGAAGGTTTGTTATTTACCACTGACCGGTCATAAAATGCAGACGCTCAATTTCAACTTCCTTTCAAGTTCTTTGTGTCTGATATCAGGCGTGCTCATTTTTTTATATTTTACTAATACATTACTAAGTGGTTTATATTCATTTTGGATATATTTTAACCAGTTTTCCTTGAGTGCAATAGTAATAAGTGGAATTTTTTATGTTTCATTTTACTGATTTGTGTAAACATACTGTCTATTTATGTACTAATATTTAATTACTAATGCAATTATTTGATGTAGCTGTATTATGTAATTATTCCTCAACAAACCCTGGTCACTTTGATGTAAAATATGTGTATGTTGCCTGGCAATTGAATTAGTATGGTCTGTTTTAATGTGTTACACTTCTGATGCTAAACCACCTGGGACTCAAAGAGTTAATGAGATGTCTGACATAGTATCGATGTCCTCATTTTTATAAGCATCTTTTGGGTTTAAACTTCGTTTGTATTTTAAGAGCAGTGGTGGTCTAAATGTACATCTTCACCTCTGAAAACATTGATGTTATATAGAGAGGATGCAAGTTTCTTGTTACCACAGATATGATTAATCTGCTGTCAGGTAACAGTCATTGATATTTTATCCACCAGGTGATCTCTGTAGCTCAAGTCATGATGGACCCGTACTACCGCACTGTGGAGGGCTTCATAACTCTCATCGAGAAGGAGTGGCTGGGCTTTGGTCATCGCTTCAGTCATCGCAACAACCAGACAGCCTCGACACAAACCAGTGGTTTTGCTCCAATCTTCTTGCAGTTTCTGGATGTAGTACATCAGGTAACACCAGGTTGAACGTGTGTGTTTACATGACACAGTATGGCTACATAACACTATGTATACATAATTTTTGTTTACATTAAAGAATGTTGACATAACATGGTGTGTTTACATAACACAGTGTTTTCATAACACTGTATGTTGTCATAAATATAGGTATGTTACCCTTGATGCTTCTAGTAATTGACATTGCATTATCCCCATTAGATCTGTAGGAAAGGAGAGAGAAATTAAACAAATGAATGTACGGATCTAACTGTCTATTGGTATAATGAAAATGTAGACTCGCAGATATTGCAGAAGAATCATAAGTTAACAAATATAAATACAAAAATTTAAAAAAAAAAAAAAACATTCTTCACAATCTCCCTACCAAAACTATACTACTAGTTCCAGACTTGGCATAAACATCTTTGGATAGAGGATAAACATCTTTGCCTCTCTGGTACTCCATTAATGATGATGTGAACATCAGAATCACCAGTCTAAATAACTTTTGAGACACCACAAGACATACTCTGGCATAGGATAGAATCAGGTTTGCTTCTAAAATTAACATTAATTTATGCTGTAATTGTATCACCAACTTTTCTGTACACTTGGCAAACCTGGACAGTGGTTTAATAAGTATAGTAAAGGAGCCTTTTCCAAACCTCATATTGGGCATATAGGGCTAGTCCAGTATTTTTTAGATATGTTGACACTTGGTGGGAGATGTGGTCAACATCACGCCAGCTGCCTTAACTTCCCATGTACACATTTAAGGCTAAATTGACATGGGAGCCAAGGTCATGGGGGAGGGGGAGGAGGGGAGTCCAGCTCTGTCCCTGAACCCACAACTTTCAGATCCGCAAGCGAGCTTGGTTAAACCAGTGAAGGAGACCATTTATTATTGTGTGTCAGATTTTTTTTTTTTTTTTTAACAATTACCTTATCTCTCAGGTCAGCCCAGTCTTAAATGGGTACCGGGTAAATTCTTGGAAAGTAAAGGTAGCCATCATGAGGTTGACCACATCATGAACCAAATGCGGATTGGTCTATAAAATATGATGTCAAGCACTATATACCCAGTACATCTAATGGTATGGGAAAAGGTCCTTTTACACACACAAAATGGAAATGAAGATTTTTGTTTAAATACTTTGTCTATTTTAAATTTAATTTCCCTCATTGATGTCAACAGATACACTGTCAGTTTCCTTTGTCCTTTGAGTTCAGCCGGTACTTCCTGCGTTATCTGGCCTACCATTGTGTCAGCAACAGATTCCGCACGTTCATGCTGGACAGTGAGCTCGAGCGTGTGGACTCTGGCTGGCTGCTGGAGGAGCAGCACAGTATCCTCAGTCCGGACAAGAGTGAAGAGAGTCTAGAACATCATGCCAAACATCATGTTCTTTACCCACACTTACCTAGTCTTTTAGAGCATGGGTAAGCGGCTACAATCATCAGATTTTTCTTTGTTTTATTCTGCTTAATTGACCTTGGGCTTTCTTTAGCAAGTATGTCTTCTTTGATTTTTTGTTTCCCCCTGGCTCCTGTGGCAATGTGGTCAAGTGTTTGCCTCCCACTCTGAAGATTGTGGGTTCATTTCACTGACATGTTCAGTTCATAAGTGCAGTCTTTATGGAGATTCTTGTGGAGCAGTCGCTTGAGCTGTGGAGTTTGTGCTTTTGAAACGCTCCCGACAGTTGACTAGCCATATCTACAGACACAGATTGAGCCGCATGAGATAAAACCCAGTGCAATTAAATAGATCCTCTCAGCTGTTAACTTTCATTGTATTTCTTTTAAAACTTTACATGAGTTTCCAGTATCCCATCTGCATCTTGTTCTGCATTTTATTGTGTACTCTATTTACGTATATAAAATGGGAGTCTTTGTTTTGATGAACTGTTTTTGTACATTCTTATCTATGTTTTTCTTTGCTAAAATTGTTCTTATTTCATTCATTTAAAAATGTTTCTCTATCTAATTGAAAAATATGTTTGTCAGATGTAATTATTTGTCTAATGCTTGTGAATTTAATTGAGCCTGTTAGTGAAGATATTTTCACATCAGTATTTATAGTTAATGGAAGTTATCTCTAATGATCTGTCATTCAGCCGGCAGATTTCTTCAGAGAGCAGACAGTCATGTGGAGCATCCCTGTGGGAACACATTGACAAACTGAGTAGACAGTCTCCTGTCTTCTTTAACTTTGCCTACGCTATGGAGGACCAAGATCCGGTGAGTAGAGCAAGTTTTGGTGTCAGTGCTTTTATGAATACTATAAAGGGAGTGTGTGTTCAGAAAAGAGAAGGGAGAAGAGAAATATGGAACATGAAAACAATGGACAGACATTAAATGAATTCATCAGTTTTCCAGTTTGAAAGTCAAATTGAGGCTCTTGATATGTAAAAAGTAAAGGTCCCTTTTCCACGCCTTAAGGTGCCCAGGGCATATAGGGCTAGACCTATATTTTTATAGACCAATCAGCACAAGTGTATGATGTGGTCAGAATCATGCTGTCCGCCTTAACTTCCTGGGACCGCACCGGGTACCCACTCAAGGCTGGGTCGACATGGGAGTTAAGGTTATTTTTGAGAAAAAAAAATTATATACAGTAGAATCAAAACAAAAACAATCAAATGTAGTGGTTCTGGATCGACTGGGGATGACAAGAATTAAATAAATTTGAAAAAAGGGACAATAAAGATGTGGTTCTCTTGTTAAAAAAAAATTTTAACAACTGTACTTAGGGAGAACTTGGAGGAAAATAGGCAAGATGTGGACAGCTATACAAGTGAGACCAGCATTTATCTGAGAGAGAGAACAGTGGGATAAAAAACAGAGTGTTAGGATCCACTGCAGCTATACTTCAATACAGAGGTGACGCCCAATTAAATGAATTTGTTTTTGGTGACTTTTAGTCATTGCACAACCTTATTAAATCATCAGATACACTGTTTAACCATTACAGTCTTCAGTCATTGTTCTGTCAAGTCATCAAAGTCATTGTTCAGACTATGAAGTCAATATTCAGCCTTTGAAATATAGTCATTGTTTAACCTATGAAATCAACATATACATTGTTCGGGCTCAATCTGAAGTTTAAATGTTTAAAGTCAAGAGAAATGACTTCATCGCACTGGGTTTTATCCCATATAGCTGTGTCTGTTTCCATAGAATGGCTAGCCACCTGCCGTGAGTGTCATATAAAGCACATATGGCTGTTCATTGTTGAACTGAAGACTTTCAGAACGCCAGGCAAATGGCTGTTCATTGTTGAACTTAAGACTTTCAGAACGCCAGGCAAATGGCTGTTCATTGTTTAACTTACGAAATCATTATTAACTTTCTCCAGTTTACACTTATGAGAGAATAAAATCATGCTCAATAAATTTCTTCTAGATTCTGAGGCCCTTCAGCAATGTGTCCAACCTCAAAATATGGGACTTTTATACCACCGAGGACTTGTGTCGAGGAGTGTTGTATGACCTGGACCTGGAAGACAGAGATGCACCGGGAGAGGAGCTTGAGGTGGAAACCATGGGTGTCAGCAGGAGGCAAACACTGAATGCTTGTTACCACAACATCTTACTACAACACCCTGATTTCTTCTGGTCAAAGATACAGGTACAAGTCTGTTGTCTGTGTACTCTGATGTAATAGTTGTCAGAGATGTTGTAGTTCTTCTTCTTCTTTGCTGACTCTTTTACCTCTTTGAGTGTTGAGGGAGAGACAGGGTTCTGTCTCTCACACTTCTAGCTTTGACCATTGACACTTGATAGTGTTGCCACATTTCTCTGATCTTATCTTTCCATACCGTTTCTCCATTGTATTTGCCATTTGTTATTGTCATTTAATATTCTCTGCTGTCTTTTTCTCTTATGAACTCATTCCTGGTCACTCTTGTTACGCAACCTTTCTCAGACTTCTCATTTCTGTGGTTAACTAATTTTTATTTCATTATTATTGGGATTGACAGTTTCTGGCATTGGTAGTATAGGGTGGGGATGAAGTATGAGATGTTTCTTTGTACTGATTGTAAAAGTGGTGATAGCTGTCCCAGCACTTGGTTTAAATCAAGTGTATTCTGTTGATCAATAAACAGTGAAGTTACGCAATGCTGTATTATTTTTTTTTTTTTTTTTTTTTGCTTTAGGAGATCCATCGACTACAAGCTGAACTAGGCATCAAGCAGTCACCATGGAGAGCAATATTTGACAGATTGGAATGTCCTGGAAGAAACCAGTTCCATCGCCAGGTTGGATTTTTTTTTTTTTTTTTTGGTAACTGACAAATTAGCCAGAAACTGCCAGATCATTTTGTACCATACTTCACCCTTTAACTTTCAAACTCCCAAGGAACGCATCTTATGTTTATAAATTCCTACCTAAAAGCCCAGTGAACGCAAGATGCAACGATTTAACATCTCTCTTGGCTACCCTTTGGGTCTCTGATGCCAAACCTCCTAGGACTCAAAAAGTTAATGTTATTCAACAGTTTTTCGGTGAGGTTTGATCACAGTGTGTCCTTGAAAAAACACATTGACCAAGTGATAACAGAATCTCGCAAGGGCCTGTCAGCAATGAGGGTCCTGGCTGCAACCAATATCAGGCAGAGTCTGTTTCCGCTTCTGTTCCAAGGACTGGTCTATTGACCAAGTGATAACAGAATCTCGCAAGGGCCTGTCAGCAATGAGGGTCCTGGCTGCAACCAATATCAGGCAGAGTCTGTTTCGGCTTCTGTTCCAAGGACTGGTCTATTGACCAAGTGATAACAGAATCTCGCAAGGGCCTGTCAGCAATGAGGGTCCTGGCTGCAACCAATATCAGGCAGTCTGTTTCGGCTTCTGTTCCAAGGACTGGTTTATTGACCAAGTGATAACAGAATCTCGCAAGGGCCTGTCAGCAATGAGGGTCCTGGCTGCAACCAATATCAGGCAGAGTCTGTTTCGGCTTCTGTTCCAAGGACTGGTCTATTGACCAAGTGATAACAGAATCTCGCAAGGGCCTGTCAGCAATGAGGGTCCTGGCTGCAACCAATATCAGGCAGAGTCTGTTTCGGCTTCTGTTCCAAGGACTGGTCTATTGACCAAGTGATAACAGAATCTCGCAAGGGCCTGTCAGCAATGAGGGTCCTGGCTGCAACCAATATCAGGCAGAGTCTGTTTCGGCTTCTGTTCCAAGGACTGGTCTATTGACCAAGTGATAACAGAATCTCGCAAGGGCCTGTCAGCAATGAGGGTCCTGGCTGCAACCAATATCAGGCAGTCTGTTTCGGCTTCTGTTCCAAGGACTGGTCTATTGACCAAGTGATAACAGAATCTCGCAAGGGCCTGTCAGCAATGAGGGTCCTGGCTGCAACCAATATCAGGCAGAGTCTGTTTCGGCTTCTGTTCCAAGGACTGGTCTATTGACCAAGTGATAACAGAATCTCGCAAGGGCCTGTCAGCAATGAGGGTCCTGGCTGCAACCAATATCAGGCAGTCTGTTTCGGCTTCTGTTCCAAGGACTGGTCTATTGACCAAGTGATAACAGAATCTCGCAAGGGCCTGTCAGCAATGAGGGTCCTGGCTGCAACCAATATCAGGCAGAGTCTGTTTCGGCTTCTGTTCCAAGGACTGGTTTCTCCTCTTGAGTATGCATTAGTTATTCTCACTGTCAGCCATACTCAAATTGAAAGACTTGATAAGGTACAAAATAAAGCCATGCACATTATGCTAGGGTGTACAAGAGACATCTCTTGTGTAGAAGTGAGGTAACTTCTTGACTTTCTTACCATCCACCACAAGATCAAGATATGGAAGGCTCCTGCACCCCGAGATAAGCTCAGATCTGAAGTACCACCTGCTCTTCAGTTTTAAAAAAAAGGTTCACGGTAAAAAAGGGACAAATCAAGAGCTGAGTTGCACCTTCTTCTGTGTTGTCATGCTTGTTAGAGAGCAAAATTGTGATCTTAATATTTTCTTTTGTCAGCAGTTTCTCATTTAAATATTTATTTGACATATGCCCATGATACCCGTCTCTCAGTCTGAAGACAGCTTGCAGTTCCCTGCAGAAGTTATTTTCTTAACAATTTACACTTAGAATAGCTTGCCTGAACATATCCGTCAGTGAGAAAGCAAGTGGATCTTAATACAGTATTTTACACTTCATATTTAGCTAGCAGATAAAAACAGACAACCAGATAGAGATGAATGCAGCATGGCATTAACTGGTCAGCTGACTTACATTTCTTGGAGCCTGTAAAATATTTATAGCACGACAAGTAGTTGACCTGGTTACCCAGTACCACTGTAGCCAATGGAAAAAATATGAGAAGAAATGTCTATAAATAAGTAAAGCCGTTTTCATGAAAGGGCATCCTCCCCTCCCCCCCCTCCCACTCATAATGCTATTTTTAGTAAATGTAATCATTCACTGTCATGCTTAACGTTTGTGCAGATGCAATGAATTCTGTTAGCTTGACATCTCATACACATGGAAAGGGACTTTTGTGGGGAAAATGGTACCCACCGGAAATGTTGGTTTTGTGGCTTCTCGAGGCCAAAGGGTTCAGAAACATATTTACTTCTAATGTTCCATGGAGATTTCCTGTTGTGGTTTTTGACTGTTATTTTAATGCTTCTCTGTCCTAGGTATCCCTCAATACACAGTTAGTACGTTCACACAGCCGCTCCATCCATAAGAGATCAACCCTGGAGATTCTGGTTCGGGGTAAAATGCTTGGTGATGCTGCACGAATGTTCTCACAACCACATAGATTTGAAAAGCACACATACACCACATCGACATTCTGTGATTATTGCTCTCAGATGCTGTGGGGACTCTCCAAAACTGGTAATTCTTAGTCATGTGCTCACGTTGTTATTTAATATTTCTAGTTTCTTCTTCTTCTGCATCTGCCCTTAAAAGAGCAATTTGCACGTTATTTTGTGGTTGACAATAAAGCTCCAATGTCTGTACGTTTTAACCTAATACATCTGATTTTAGCAAACTGAAAACTGGTCTCTTTTTACAACATGCTTGTAGGTCTGCCCTCTGCCCGCCCCCCAACTGGGGTTCAGGAACCCACACAGGGATGTCGAGTTTCAAATTAAATGTTTCCTGTGTGGGTTCCGGGCCACATTAGGGTGGGGGGGGGGGGGGGGGGAATAAACCCACTGCTTCCCTAACAAGCATATCATAATAGTCAAGTAATTATGGGTTTTCTTCGAAGTCAGCATCATAATAGATTCCTGAGAGGCAAGGAACCAACAGTCTGCATAGTGGTAAGCCAGATCTTTAAAATGGATGTGCACATCCAACTCAAGTTCTGGAATTCAGAAGTGTATGAACAACCAGAACTTTCCACTGGAATTTACAATCGGTGAACACGAAGAGAAGATGCTTTCAAATCTTGTGCATTACTGCCTTGTCTATGGAAGTCACAAAGTTATCTTCATGTATTTGTATATGGCTCATTTGACTTCATGCCCCATAATGGATATGTGCTAGGAAAAGGTTATACAAAAGCCAGAAGCCACTTAGATATAATTCTTTCATAGAGTAATGAGAATCTCATGGCTTAGTTAGAAAGCAGCTGCTGCAATAAAACATATTCACAAACGCAGATTACTAGCCATATTAGGACATCAGGCATTATTTTCTTACCTGCCACTGTACCGTTGTCCTGATTTGTCAGGAATTTGCCTACTGCGTGATAAAATGCGTCACAAACTAAAAATAACCAACCAATCGTGATCAAACCACATGGTTAGTCACTGCGAATGGCTGCCCACATGTGTTTGGATTTACTTTGTGAGGTTTAACGTGAACAATTCTGAAAATTCACAATGAAACGAGCGACTGATAAACCAAGCACTTCGACAAGAAAGTGAAGTAGGTCTAGGTTTTTCACAGTCCAATGAGTGATCATTACTTTGGTTGATTCAGACTCTGCAGAGTCATAATTTCATGAAGAATACGTTCCCAGCTGAAGTGACACAGTCAGTGAGAGCTCGAATGATGAGGAGAATCTTGAAAATTATAAATCTAGAAATAGATGGATAGTAGGAGAAGGGGGCGTGTCCCTCAAACAGCAACATCTGGGGTTCACTTTGTGAAACAAGACTGATCCTGCTGGGTGGAGTGGCACACAAAGGTTGAATATTGGTGCTAGATGAAAGGTCAACCTATTTTCTACAATGTCTCCAAGTTTCATCTTATTCTAACCACTTGTTTGCGTGTAACTAATATTGTTGTATATTATGTTGGTTTTTTCGCGTTAATGCCCAGGAGCTCTGGTATAGGGGGCAGTTAGGTTCAGGCCCTCAGGTCTGGTAGGGTTAACTCTGCTCACATATTAATGCATGTTGATATACTTTGTGTCTGTCTTTCTCTGTCCCTTTGCTTTCTATCTGTCTGTCTCTCCGTCTTTCTGTCTGTCTGTCTCTCTCTGTCCCATCCTTCATTGCCTCCCATTATTCTTACACTGCAACACTGCTGTTCCTAGGTTTGCACTGTGCTGACTGTGGCTACAACTGTCATGACAAGTGCCAAGCTTACGTGCCCAGAAACTGCCAGAAGTTGAAAGCTGTCGGTGACACCGGGTTGAGTTCACCCCATCTACAGGGCAATGGTGGCCCCACGTCTAGTGCCAATACAGGTATTGATGTTTTCCTACACTGAAGCTCAGTTAGACAACAGCGCTAGTGCTCATCTGTCCTCATCATGTAGTAGGTCCTTTGCAGAACGTCGTTCTCATCACCGTCTGCCTGAAAGAAACTCGGTCTCTCGCCAGCTCTCCCGCCTTGTGTACTTTCATATTCAAGGAGTCACTTATATCCTGTGCCCATCTTCATGTTGGTCAGCCCCTTCTCCTCCTTCCAGACACCATGGCTTCTGCTATTATTTTTTCCTAATTCGCAATGGTGCCTGATATGACCAAGACAGGATGCTGTTTATTAGCCAACGTTTCTTGATGTTCAGATCTTTTAAAATGTCAGTATTTCTTCTTTTCTTTGTCCATGATATTCTAATAATCTTTCTATGGCATTTCAATTCATCTAAACAGCTACAGTAATGCTGGGTTGAACAAACAGTAAAGTGCAGTTAAAACATGTACAATACTACTGTAGCTGTGCTCAGTTAAAAGTCTACAGATACATCAGTTAAACAGCTACATATAAGTTACAAATAAGCCAGATCTCTGAAACAGATTTGCATTGCAAAACAAGTTCTGAGAGAAAGCTTAAAGTCCAGAAGTGGACAAAGAACCAGAACTTTCTGCTAGAGTTTATAAACAAATACTTTTACCGCCATTCAGAAAAGCTATTTAGTTCTATGCCAGCTCACTTGCTTTGATATTTTCGGTGATTAGTTTTTTTTTTGGTGTGTTTTTGGGGGGAGGGGGGGGGGTGACAAACCAACGAAATATTTCAGTCCGGCAAGAGTTAATTGCCTCTTTTGGTTAAAAGAATTGCGCACTTTAAAAAAATATATGAATATAGATGCAGGAAGAGTAGAAAATGTACTAAGGCGCACATAACTTATGACGTTAGCTTAGTGTTACTAGGAGAAAACCTTAGAGCTAGATTCGTCACTACATCAACGACAGCCCCAGCCTTTCCATCGGCCTAACACCAAAAGAAATAATATTAATAATACGAATTCAGGTTCCCCGTAACCCTCTGGATCGTGAACAACACGGTATAAATGGAATACCGAAATTAATTGACGACTGTTGCAGATAGCCAATCACTACACTTGTTGCCGCCAGAACATTGTCCATACCTCAAAAGAAAGCTGCATTTAGTCACATCAATACTATCATAGAGCTGAGTGACGTTTGTTGTATTTGAAGTTTTAGTGTGGTATATGATGAAACCGTGATTTGTTTTCTCTTTGTTTTAAGTTGAATAATTTGTTGGGATTCCTAGACCGTGTTATATCAATACAATTGTGATTTAGAAAACTCAAATATTGAATTTATATCAGTTAGTATCAATTTTAATTCCTTGTGTAGACGAAGTATTATACGTTGTGATTTATTTGAGTTCAATTTGCAAGGTGTTGAAATTTGTTATTCTGAAGTTAGTTAGAAGAATCATTATGTATTCAGTTCTTTTCCGGGGATTCACCCTATTGGTTTGTTTATCTGTATTTCCCTTCCTTTCTTTATGAACTCAGGGACCATTAGAATTCCCCTAGACTTTCTTAATTCGAGCCCTGTAAATTATTAGGAAGGATTATAGGGGATCTCCAGGCGAGGAAAAATTCCGCCAAACTAGCTTACCACAGAGGGGAAGGTTAAGAAAGGGGAGGGGGATTAAGTTTTAGCAGTTTCTTTAAACTTCTACATAATAATGGTTTTAGTAGCCTTCTAAGTAAGTAAGTACCCACTTTGTAAACAACCAGAACTATTCACAAGAATGTAGTCGGTGAACGTGAAGAAGAAGATGAAGGCGAGCCACTTAACCCATGGAATACTCAAACCCAGCCTCACATTTTTCAGCACCAGCTTCACACTTTGATCACTACAAGTCCTCGACTGCAGAACACAGGACCCATGATGGCTATCTATACAAGCAAGGGCAGCTCTTCAGACAGTGGAAGCAGAGATGGTTTGTTCTGGATTCCATGAAACATCAGGTATTATCCTCTATGACATCATCATCATTACATAATGGCTTGCTCAGTACATGGGCAGTCATTTGTTATTCACAAAATCGCATTCTCCATTATATCATCATTATCAAGTGTCTTGCCTGTATTTCCATTATATAATCATTATAAAGTGTCTTGCTTGTATTTTTCATTTTATTATCATTATAAAGTGTCTTGCTTGTATTCTTCATTATATCATTATTATAAAATGTCTTGCTTGTATTCTTCATTATATCATCATTATAAGGTGTCTTGTCTGTATTCTCCATTATATCATCATTATAAAGTGTTTTGTCTGTATTCTCCATTGTATCATCATTATAAGGTGTCTTGTCTGTATTCTCCATTGTATCATCATTATAAAGTGTTTTGTCTGTATTCTCCATTGTATCATCATTAGCAAGTGTTTTGCCTGTATTCTCTACTGTATCATCATTATCAAGTGCCCTGTCTGCTGGCAGGGGCGATTCATCAACCCAACTTCATGAAAAATAAACCAGTTCTTGTGCGTTTGCACTTAAAAATATGGTTGGCACATTGTGTTGTGGTTTACAGCTAGACTGCAGTATCTGCAACTTTCAGCCCAAGGCATCCATTTATGGATTAATTAGTCACCATTTACGACCTCTTATGGAGGGGGGGGGGGTCCTGTTTTTCTTCCCATTGATTAGGAATTGTCTGTGCCTCCAAATTTTCTGGGGATTATCTGGGAATTGTTTGTCCCTCAGGACTTTCTGGGAATTGTTTGTCCCTCAGGACTTTCTGGGAATTGTTTGTCCCTCAGGACTTTCTGGGAATTGTTTGTCCCTCGGGACTTTCTGAGAATTGTTTGTCCCTCAGGACTTTCTGGGAATTGTTTGTCCCTCGGGACTTTCTGGGAGTTGTTTTTACCTTAGGACTTTCTGGGAATTGTTTGTACCTCAAGACTTTCTGGGAGTTGTTTTTACCTTAGGACTTTCTGGGAATTGCTTGTACCTCAGGACTTTCTGGTAATTGTTTGTGCCTCAGGACTTTCTGGGAATTCTTTGTCCCTCAGGACTTTCTGGGAATTGTTTGTCCCTCAGGACTTTCTGGGAATTGTTTGTCCCTCAGGACTTTCTGGGAATTGCTTGTACCTCAGGACTTTCTGGGAATTGCTTGTACCTCAGGACTTTCTGGGAATTGCTTGTACCTCAGGACTTTCTAGGAATTGTTTGTACTTTAGGACTTTCTGGGAATTGCTTGTACCTCAGGACTTTCTGGGAATTGCTTGTACCTCAGGACTTTCTGGGAATTCTTTGTCCCTCAGGACTTTCTGGGAATTGTTTGTCCCTCAAGACTTTCTGTTAATTGTTTGTCCCTCAGGACTTTCTGGGAATTGCTTGTACCTCAGGACTTTCTGGGAATTGCTTGTACCTCAGGACTTTCTGGGAATTGCTTGTACCTCAGGACTTTCTGGGTATTGTCTGTACCTCATCCCCTTAGAAATTATGCCTACATTGTATTATTTTATTTTGTGTCCCACAGCTGCGTTATTATGAGACCCGTGATGATCCCAACTGTAAAGGCTCCATAGACCTGTCTGAAGTGGAGTCTGTGACCCTGGTCAAGTCTGTGCCTGGAGCATTGAAGAGGGCGGATGAGAACTCTTTCATAGAGGTAATGGTGATTTTCTTTTATGTATGATATGACATCTATCATGAAATGACAGGAATTGTGGTTGGTGGCCATAACATAAAAAACCTGCGTTATGCTAATGACACCATCTTGATAGCAACCAGTCAGAAATAACTTTAGGCATGGATAGACACCGTAGTGGTATCAAGTGATAAAATGGGCCTCAGTCTAAATAATGGGAAGACAGAAGTAATGGTGATTTCTGAGAAAAGTATAGTGCCTAAATGTGTAATAAAAGCCAAAGGCATTATTTTAGGACAAGTACAGGAATTTAACTATCTGGGCACATAGATAACACCGGATGGAAGATGTGTCACAGAGATAAAGAACAGAATAGCACAGGCCAAAACTGCCTTTTATCAAATGAATAACATTTTGTGCAGAAAATCCATTTCATTGGAGGTTAGGAAAAGAATTCCTGCCTGCTATAATTAACAAACTAGTCAAATAATTTCTTGAGGCTTTGGAGATGTGATTTTACAGAAGAATTCTTATAATTCCTTGGGCAGCTAAGAAGAGCAACCCAGATGTTTTGAAAGAGGCAAGTGTTCAAAGACATCACAAACATCAGAAAGAGACATTCATCGATTTTTTGTCGTGTTATGAGAAGAGGGAAAACTGGAACATGTTGTGACCACTGGAAAGATCTGTGGAAAGAGAGACTGGGAAAAACAGTGTGCGAATGTTCTTGTCAGCTTTTTGTCATGATATGGAGAGGTGTCAGCACGCAAACGGATACACACAGTTGCGGATTGTGGAGAGGGGTGATCACCAGTTGGCAAGGCACTTGTACTGATAATGTTGAGAAACGTTTACTCTTTTAGTCTCCTAGGATCACACCACAGTAGCTGTCCAATAGGGGAATTAACTCTGCAACAGCTTCACAAGTGTATTACTTTCACAGGAGCCAAAAATATATCTTTATCAATAGCACCCACTAGGGTTGTTGATCTCCATATCTTGTAGTCTCTGAGGCGTGTTTCAGTGCAGATGCTGGTATTTCCATACCATGACATAAGGCTGTCAAGAATATACACACCTTGTCTTGCCCCCCTTTTTTTTTTTTTATTCTCATTAAGAAATGATAAAACAAATACATGTGACACGTTGATTGGGATACATGTAGAATTACGAATGTGATAGAGGTGACTGGGTCACAGCATGAGTCACCTGATACACATATTTTTATTTTGGATGTAGCTGGCAAAATATGGGACAGCCTGGCCGGATTCGGTTATATTGTTGAGGGTCTATACGCCAGTGAGGAATAAATGGCAGAAGAGGAAAATTACTGTCCGACTTTTTGTCTCACAGTGAATGTCAGGTTATTTCTTACCCTGGTATTTTCACAGTTTTTTTTTTTTGGCATACTCTGTACTGAGGCAGAACTGTACTGAGACAGGACTGTACTGAGACAGAACTGTACTGAGACAGGACTGTACTGAGACAGAACTGTACTGAGACAGAATTGTACTGAGACAGAACTTTACTAAGACAGAACTGTACTGAAAAAGAATTGTACTGCGACAGAACTGTACTGAGACAGAATTGTACTGAGACAGAACTGTAATGAGAAAGAATTGTACTGCGACAGAACTGTACTGAGACAGAATTCTGTACACACCTGACTAATCTCCGTGCTCACCATTCTTTTGATGCCCTTCAGAACAACCTTATGCAAAACTGTCATTCATCTAGGGAAGAAAGGCAATGCATGGTCACCTCCTACCAACTAGACACTATTCTCAGTGTGATCTGTTTCTGTTTCTTCACTTTGTAGCAGAAGGTGTATACAACACTGATGGTTGTTAGCAAAGAAACGTTCAGTAGGATAATGACTGTGTAAAATATTCATATTTCAGTTACTTATATTTGCTCAATGTTTTTTACATTTGCAAGTAATTGAAAAAAACAATTCCTAAATTGCTGACTATATGTTACATACTGTTCCTTTGTCCATGGTTAAAGCCCATTACATTTGACTAATGAACAGGCTGATAGATTAGCTACTGTCGGCCCACTAGGCGGTGAGCTACTTTAGGATAAAGTGGACATGATGAGGGCTCTGTGGGTTAAGTGAACAAACTAGAGCATCAGTATCTTTGATGATGTTGATGATGATGATGAGCAGAGGGTTTGAAACATTTTTTACTTTCAGGGATAAATTGTGTGAACTTTTCATCAGGTTGCAGTTGCAACCATCAGTATGAGAACTCTTAGTTGGCTGCTGAGGAGGGGGGCAGAGCACATGTGGGAATGTCTCAGCTACAGTGATATCAATTCTTGATTAACTCATTCATTTGTTCATTGTATGATAGAGTGATATCATTTCTTGATTGACTTATTCATTCATTCATTGTGCAGTGCAATGATATCAGTTCTTGATTGACTCATTCATTCATCATTCATTGTGTCATGGAATTTACCCATTTCTCTGATGTGTTTCATATTCCATTAATTATGTGAACATTTCTTTTCAGATTCGAACTGTGCGACGAGTGTACAATTTTATGGCCTCAGACTCAAAGTCAGCAATTGACTGGGTGGACAAGCTTCAGGGCTGTATACAGAGAGAATAGTAGGCTGTCAGTTGTGGTGATAGACTTTTCCTTATGCGCACAAGACCTGTCTCGAGCTGAGTGGTCTCATATCAGCCATCACACAGATAGTCTCTGTGACAGGTGCCTTGGTGGAGAGGGTACGAGACACAGGACTGCATGTGTGGAGAACTATTTGCTTCCGATGGTTCAGCAGCTTTGTCGCCGCAAGACATCAAGAATGTTGACAGATTCATGTAGAAAGGTGTTAATCCCTGCTATACATATTCTGTAAATGAAATTTTCCTAATGACATCTCTTGCTTTTGTAGCTAATGGAGAGGTAATATAAATGTAATCTCAATGGCAACTCTGGTTGTTGTAGTTAATGGAGAGGTAATATAAATGTAGTCTCAGTGGCAACTCTGGCTGTTGTAGCTAATGGAGAGGTAATATAAATGTAGTCTCAATGGCAACTCTGGTTGTTGTAGCTAATGGAGAGGTAATATAAATGTAATCTCAATGGCAACTCTGGTTGTTGTAGTTAATGGAGAGGTAATATAAATGTAGTCTCAGTGGCAACTATGGCTGTTGTAGCTAATGGAGAGGTGATATAAATGTAGTCTCAGTGGCAACTCTGGCTGTTGTAGCTAATGGAGAGGTAATATAAATGTAGTTTCAATGGCAACTCTGGTTGTTGTAGCTAATGGAGAGGTAATATAAATGTAATCTCAATGGCAACTCTGGTTGTTGTAGTTAATGGAGAGGTAATATAAATGTAGTCTCAGTGGCAACTCTGGCTGTTGTAGCTAATGGAGAGGTAATATAAATATAGTCTCAATGGCAACTCTGGCTGTCGTAGTTAACAGAGAAGCAAGGTAAATGTAACATTAATGAATCGCTGAAAAGCAAGTTAATGCATAGATTTTGATACAGTGAAATATCTGTGTCTTAATGACTGCTGTTGTCTTCAAGATCAACAGTAACAAGCATGTAAAAATAAACACATGTAACTGGTGAAGCCAAATCATTTACACATGTCATACTTGAAAGCCCCTGGCTTGGACATGTCATTGGCACCACACCAAAGTCACTTAAGTGCATTTTCGGGGCTCTTGAAGTACCAGAACATTTGGTTGAACAATTTTAAGGTAACAATAGTCTCAATGAGCATAAACAACCTATTAGAGCATCATTGCTACACATGAAGCAACACAAATACTAAGGGTTATTAACTAGCCATGTTTGTTTAGTTTCGCTAGGCTTAACACTGGAGACCATCTTTCATAGTTTGGTACTCATGTGCAAGATGTGATCCCACATGGCACGTTGGCTGGGACAAGAAGAGTCAAAATTCAGTATGATAAAGGCACCCAGGTTAATTCCTACTTCATATAGGTCAAAACAAAAATATTACTTCTCGTGCAGTTACATAAGAGTTTTTGAAAGGCTGCAGAAAATTCTGAAAATGTGGACCAAGAAGAAGAAAATAATGGCATTTTTGAATTGATTAGGGGCTGCAGAAAATGGTGAGCTGGAGAGAACAGAAATAGATGGTTCTGAAAATGCATGGGACCAAGAAGAGAGAAACTTTCAGGCATATGATATTTCAGGCATCCAGTGCATGATTTGAGCATTGAGGAGAATTGGGCTGATAAGATTTCAGGCACATGTTAATATGAGATGTGTGAGGCTGGAGAGGCATACGGTGATGTAATAGATGGTTCAGGCAGGTGAGGCAGACCTCCATACGGTGATGAATACGGTGATGATACATGACGGATGAGACTTGGCAAGGTGATGCATTTCAGGCATACGGTGATGAGATTATGATACGGTGATGAGACTTCAGGCATACGGTGATGAGATTTCAGGCATACGGAGAGATTTCAGGCTACGGTGATGAACTTCGACTTGATGAGATTTCAGGCATACGGTGATGAGATTTCAGGCGTACGGTGATGAGACTTTGATGAGATTTCAGGCATACGGTGATGAGACTTCATACGGTGATGAGATTTCAGGCATACGGGATGAGATTTCAGGCATATGAGACTTCAGGCATACGGTGATGAGACTTCAGGCATACGGTGATGAGATTTCAGGCATACGGTGATGAGACTTCAGGCATACGGTGATGAGATTTCAGGCATACGGTGATGAGACTTCAGGCATACGGTGATGAGACTTCAGGCATACGGTGATGAGACTTCAGGCATACGGTGATGAGATTTCAGGCATACAGTAATGAGACTTCAGGCATACGGTGATGAGAATTCAGGCATACGGTGATGAGATTTCAGGCATAGGGTGATGAGAGCGACATTCTATAAAGAACTTCCTGACAATTGGGACTATTGGTAATAACACAGTTTTAATTTGCCACTCACTGTTCAAATGCAAGTTCCTTGAAACAAAGATTTAGGGCTCAGGTGACTTTGACACAGGACCCAACGATGTGTAGCATGTTGTTGCTCACAGAAGATTTTATAATAAAATAATTCACACACAACTCACCCACATAATCATCACTAGACTACATCATCTTGATGCGGTTGCCTAAATGTGTCTTGTCATCAGCATGTTTATGTATATATTTTTTTTAAACTAGACACTGGGAGCTTACTAGATTAAACTTACTGATTATTTATTTTGTTATTATATTCAATATAGACATGGTAGTTTAAGTTCTCCAGAAGATGTGTAAATTCTTCTTCTTTCATTTCCTTCAAATAGATTATCCATGTCTGCAGTTTTGTCTCCATTGTGAACTTCACTATTTTTTTAAATTCATTCAGCGACAGTAAAGTTTGGCCTCGACCAGTGTTTCCTCTTGGAGAGAAATTTTGCATTGATATGCTGTATTTGAGACAGTCTTGGAGGACGTGATTAGTTGTTTCAGGTGCCAATCCACATGTGCACATTGTTGATTTGCCCATTGACATGTTACTGTTATTTGAAGAAAGAACGGAGCACATCTCATACTTTATTGCCTAGTATATTTCACTGTATTATCTCACGTGCATACTATATGAACAATATGAACAAGTAAATAAATTTCAAGGAAAGACAATACAAAATCAGAAGAATACTTGGAATAAAGCCAGTCTTACAGATCATCAAAGAAGAACAAATGAAGTGGTTTGGACACCTAACAAGGATGCCTTGATACTATCTGCCACAACGAGCCACACTAAAACGTTACAATGGGTATAGATCGAGTGGAAGACCTAGGAAAATATAGAGTGATGGCATTAAGAACAGCCTTACAGAAATGAACATCAGTCCTTAATAGTGCTCTTGACAGAGCTCATCATTGAATGTTACATCTCCCCCGGACACTTCGATGAGGTACAAGGTGGAAGAGAAGAAGAAGAAGAAATAATTTCTTCTAACTGAAATACAAACCTTAACTACGACATATATATATACCAACCGATGCTTTATGCAGCCTGCTGGTTTTCTTTTTCTTTTTTGTTCACATTTTCAACAATAAAACATTGCTTTGTTTTCATTATCAGTTAGTCCATTTATAAATTTTTAACTGCTTACTTATACCATGCCCTATTTTTCAGTCATTTTGTAATGTATTAGTTTTGCTTTAGTGATGCACGAGCCATATGCAACTTTTGCCTTGCTGTCCATCCATTTTGTTGAGCCAAGTGCTAGAAGTTTTTTGTTTTTTTGTTATTGGAGCAAAAATAAATTGTCCATCCGGAAATTTGTTTTAAAGACACTGGCACTTCTAGTTGGTCAGTTTTGTCACTAGGTACAAGTGCAATTCAGTGAACAGTGTGTAGAATATGTTTCAAAGACACATACAGCTGAAGGCAACAGTCTTATCGGTGGTAAGTACAGTCAGTGGGTCATGTGCAGAAATATGTTTTAAAGAAATCGACACTTGTGTTGGATAGTCTCATCACTGTAATTACAGTCAGGGAACAGTGTGTAGAAGTTTATTTTAAAGCCACCAGCAATTGTAGATGGATAAGAGGTACAGTCAGTGGACAATGCACAGAAATATGTTTTAAAGACACCAGCACTTGTTGGAAAGTCCTCTTTGTAAGAACAAGTACAATCAGTGAGCCATGGGCAGAAATAAGTTTTAAAGACACCAGCACTTGTTGGACAGTCATGTCTATAAGAACAAGTACAATCAGTGAGCCATGGGCAGAAATAAGTTTTAAAGACACCAGCACTTGTTGGACAGTCCTGTCTGTAAGTACAAGTACTGTCAGTGAGCCATGGGCAGAAATAAGTTTTAAAGACACCTGTCTGTAATTAAAAGTACAATCAGTGAACCATGAGCAGAAATAAGTTTTAAAGACACCAGCACTTGTTGGAAAGTCCTCTTTCTAAGAACAAGTACAATCAGTGAGCCATGGGCAGAAATGAGTTTTAAAGACACCTGTCTGTAATTAAAAGTACAATCAGTGAACCATGAGCAGAAATAAGTTTTAAAGACACCAGCACTTGTTGGAAAGTCCTCTTTGTAAGAAGAACAAGTACAATCAGTGAGCCATGGGCAGAAATGAGTTTTAAAGACACCTGTCTGTAATTAAAAGTACAATCAGTGAACCATGAGCAGAAATATATTTTAAAGACACCAGCACTTGTTGGAAAGTCCTCTTTGTAAGAACAAGTACAATCAGTGACCCATGAGCAGAAATGAGTTTTAAAGACACCAGCACTTGTAATTACAGTCAGTAAACAGTGTGCAATCTTTCTCCTTAATTATATATGAGAATGTAATGTTATTGTTGTTGTTTTTTTTTTTAATTTGTTCTGCATTTTTAGAAATGATGCCATGAGCCTGTGAGCTGTTATGCAATTGATGATTGTATTATATTTTACTCAAGGAAACTGAGGATGCCGGTGGTAGAGCCTCTAATCCTTCATAAGCAGATAAATGTTAGATGTTTATTGTGTTCATTCTGTGGAGAAGACATGAGAATGTGAGAGGACACACATGGCAACGGGCAGTAGAGACAATCACCAGATACCAGCTGCATGCATTGTGCAGAGATAGAATTTCAATATCTA